AGTTTTTGTTTAGTTTCGAAGTTTGAAACAAACCTGAATTTCGTCGAGTAGAAACTTTTGTTCATCTGTCATCGATTCGATTGTTGCTTGAAATTTTAATTCCATCTTGTTAATTGTCTCCTTTAAGATTGAATTGTCTCCGATAATTGTTTGCAATTGGAATGATAATTTTTCCAAACTTCATAACCTTTTTAAAGCGTTTCGCGAACAGATCGGTTTCTACCTTCATGGACATGAAGCTGTCTCTCGAAACTCAACAAGTGCTCTTTCAACACAACCATCAGCAACCACGTTATTGTAAAATCTAATAGGAATACTGATTTCTTTTAATCGTAATGAACTTCAAATAAAATGATTAATTAATTAATAATAAATTGTGTTGATAAGAAAAATGTTTTCAATAAATTAAATAGAATTGGTTTTATTTTTGTCAAATTTAAAAAAGGATACAATAATACAGATATACAATATGTACAATATTAATTATTTATTTGCGATTGGAAAAGTGTCTCTTTTTGTGTGCCAAGTGTCCAGAAAAACCATGAAAATTTCCAAATGAATTGTCTTCAGGATGATTATAGAAATGAAAATCATAGTCTCCCCTATGCATATCACCACGTCTCATATGAGGAGGCATTGGAGGTGGATCAGGTGGGTATTGATAAGGTCGTCTCATTGGAGGACCATGAATATATGGAGATCGGTTTGGTGGTAAATTGTAATTTAGGTCCATGTGATGGTGATGGTGATGATCAGGATTATATTGTTCATCCATCTCACACGGTGGAAGTGTCACAGGTTGAGATGTCTTCTCAGACCATTGATCAGCGAAATCTTTTGGAATAGGTTTGGAGAATGGAACTTTTCGCTGTTGTTCACCTTCTTCTGCCAATTTTGATTCAACAGGTGGGAAGATCTCAACAGGTGATTTATCGAAAACCATTTCAGGGAAAATATCTTCACTTTTTTCTTTAGAAATACCTGGTATGGAGTCAGAAAGTTTCATTTCATCACAATATTTAGATTCTTGTGTTTTTTCGTTGAGGTTATATTTATCCACCATTCTATCACCAGGCCGATTTCTTGTCCAAAATTTGCAAGAATGGTCATTAGATCCAGAAGCTAAAATATGCCCTAAAGGGTGCCAGCTTAGCGACCATACAACAGATTCATGAGCTGACTCAATTACACCAATTTCTTTATCAACCCCCACTTCCCAAAATAAAATGGATCCATCCGATCCACCGCTAGCGAAAAGAGACTCGTCAATGGGATGCCAAGTTAAGCAACAAGCTTCTTTTTTATGGCCTCTGAAAACTTGCATTTCTGTTTTGATATTACGTATATCAAAAATTTTGATCAAATGATCTCTCGAAGCGGTTAGAAGCCAATTTCCGTTTTGGTTCCATTTCACGTCCATTACAGTATTTTTATGTGCATGTAAGGTGGCCAAATTGGTGCCAACTCTTGGATCCCATAGCTTAACAGGTTGTTGACTGTCTTTGCTGCCGGAAACAATCAAATCACTATCTGGATGCCAATCGATGGCTTTGACATCAGATCCATGTCCTCGAAGAGTTCTTTCTTCTTTACAAGACAAAAAGTCCCATATCTTTATGGTTCCGTCATCAGAACAGGTGGCAAAGTCAGCTCCTGATGGACTCATGGAAAGGCCTCTGATTGGACTTTCATGCCCATGAAACATTTTAACATTATTCATGTTACTCTGCCAATATTTGATATTACCAGATTGATCAGCGGTTACCATCCACAAATCGTCCATGGACCAAACCATTGCTCGAACAGCAGAATCGTGAGCTTGTAAAATTGTCTCAAAATTGAATGTCAAACCATTCCAAAGAGTGAATTCACCACTTGAGGCACCAGTGACTAAACGTCGACCTTCAGGTGTCCAAATTGTACAAAATATTGGACATCTCATTTTATTGGTTGATGCACGAACAAATTTAGTTGTAACACAGTTAACAGGATTATCACCAAAAGACATCGGAGGTAACAATAGCGGATAATAACCATAATCAGGTTGAATGGCTCTCCTATCATGATGATTTTTAGCTACAATTCTCGTTTCAAGCATATTTATAATTGATGAGTTGTAATCAACTGTTTTTCTCGCGATTGCCTTTCGCAATCGCTTACCATCAAATTCAGTTGCCTGATAAACAGTTGGTAAAAATTCTTTACTCATTTCAGTAAATAAAAACACTATGATGTTTAATAGAACTCAAAATACAACAAACTAAAAAAGTTGCGCTGAGAAAATTTAAAAATTTTGTTTACTATTTGCTGCACATGCGCAATGGAGTCGATTTCGGCTAATGAGTCATTAGCCGCTGGCTAAACAGGTGATAAACTTTTTAGTCGATTAACTTTCTCATTTAAAATAAACTGTTTACTTTTGTTTTAATTTTACTATTTAATCTGTTTAGGTTTTTTTTTCTTTCATGTCAACATGGGCGATGAACCAAACGCCAGTTTAAGAATTGATCAACCCTACAGGTGTGAATATGCTAAAAGTGCTCAAGATTGTTGCCGCAATTGTAAAGGGAAAATCATTTAGGATGAATCACGATTGGAAATGCTTCGGGTGCCACCGCCTGTTTATCTGATTTTGGTGTTGAATATTCGAAATCTGGTAAAGAAACTTGTGTACTTTGTGAATCGAAAATTTCCCTGAATGAAGTCCGAATCTCTAAAACTGATGAAGAATCTGATGCTGCCGTGAGACTTGGTCGAGCTTTACCAAGATTTTTCCATGTTGATTGTTTTGTCTCCGCTCGACAAGAGTTGGGTTTCTTTGATTCTGCTGATAAGTTACCTAATTTTGATGGACTTGAGGCCTCTGATCGACAAATACTCAAGAAAAAGTTACCCAAATTAAGTGGAACCAAACGAAAAGTGGCAGCTGAAACTAATGGCACTAAAGGCCAAAGTGAGCCTAAGAAAAGTAAAGTTGACAAAGCGGACAAAGAACTAGAAAAATCACTTCAAGAACAATCAAATCTGTTGTACAAATACATCGATCAATTGAAAACATTGAAAGCCAATGAGCTCGATGTTCTACTTTGCACAATAATTATGATCCACCAAAAGATAGAGGACGAAAAGCAGAAGTTGTTGCTGACGCAATGGCGTTTGGTGCCTTAAGTAAATGTCCTGAGTGTAAAACTGGTCAGCTGTATTTCCGTATTGCTGGTTACATTTGCAGTGGAATGGTTTCTGATTGTGTCAAGTGTGTCTACGAAACTGTAAAACCAGCTCGTAAACCATTCAAAGTGCCTACTGAATACAAAGAAATCTACGAATTTTTGGCTAAATACAAGTATAAACCTCGAGTCCGAGTTATGGGTAAAGTTCAAGGGCCAGTCGACGCAGTGGACATAGCTAAAGTGGCATCATCATCAAATGGAAATGATAATGAAAGTGAACATAAAATTGATCCATCGAAGCCATTAAAAGATCATAAGATCGTCATATTTGGCAAACTTGGTAAACCATTGAAAGACTACAAGAAAGCAATCACAGATTTGGGTGGTTCAGTTGTTACCAATTTCGATCGAACAGTTTTATTCGGTATCACCAATGACAAAGAAATCGATAAAGGATCGGATAAGGTTGAACAATCTGAACAGAATAACGTGATCCTGGTTAACGAGAAAGTGATCGAGGAAATGAAGAAAGCAAATATTGAAGATATTCCATCGGTTATTGTCAAGCATGGATTAAGTGAATGGGGAGCTCAAGATGTTGCTAAAAGATTCGTTAATCTGGTCAACAAGAGTAAAGTTAAATCATTTAAATCAGGTAATTGTTGTTTTCCTTTTCCTCCTGTTCCAATTGTACTTTTATATTCCTTGCATGATATACCGCCAAGTATCATGAGTTAATCCATACATGGTCACTAACATGCTAAGAATAACAATTTGTTTATCTCTTGATATTCTGCAGCCAGAATATTAGATGAAAATCAGATGCCCATTAATTTGAATAAGGATTTATTCATTTTTTACAAGGTCTCTGAATCGCTCCACCAGAAGCACCAGTTACTGGTTACATGTTTGGAAAGGGTGTTTACTTTGCCGATATGGCCACTAAAAGTGCCAACTATTGTCATCCACGAAGTAACAACAACACTGGTATACTTGCCTTATGTGAAGTGGCACTTGGTGAAATGTAAGTTCTGATTGAATAGAAATAATTTCTACTTGATTGTCAATACAATTACAATTAGAGTCTTGAATTATTTATTTACTTTTTCTTTTCTTTCTTTTCTTTAGGCTGGAACTTACTCAAGCTGATTTCATCACTGATCTTCCAAAAGGAAAACACAGTGTTAAGGGTGTCGGTAAAACGGCTCCAGACCCAAAGAAGTCTAAAACTATCGATGAAGGTGTTATCGTTCCTTGTGGACCTGGAAAACCAACCGGCGTTAAAGACACTTTACTTTACAATGAATTCATTGTCTATGATGTGAACCAAATAAAAATTCGATATCTATTGATGGTCGAATTTGATAACAAACTATTCTAAACTCAAGATCACCACCGTAACTGACCAAAAGAAAAACTTGGTAACATTGAGAATGTTGTTATTCCCAAAAACAGAATCAACAAGTGATTTAGTTGATCTTCTTGATTGTTAATGTGACTTTTTTTCATTTGTTTACAATTAAAAACTAAATTAACTCTACAATTAGTCGATAATGTCGAAAATTTTCAAAAAGATTTCAAAATTATCTCTTTCAGAGTTGATTGAATTTCTTTCTTTCCTCAGGTTGGACATTTATTTTGCTCTTTTCACCCTTGGTTTCATGTCACCAGGTATTCCGACCAGTCAGTTTATCCAAGACAAATATTGTATTAATCAACTTAAATTGGAACCATCGATTTGTTTAAATTTGGAAAAATTAGATGGACAATATGAGACAATTAAAAACGATGTTTATACATTTTCGAGCTGCAAGATTTGCTGTTAGCGGCTATTCAAATTTTTTTTTCAAACCATTTTTAGCTAATTTTCAATCGTTGGTCAAGATTAAGCTCATGTAACAAAACAAGTAAAATGCCAAAGTTTAGGCAAAGTTAATTCTTGTCCACTGTAAAAATAATCAATAGTTTTACTAATTAAGTTTTTAAGAAAAATTCTAATGCATTGATCAACTTTAACGTTAAATTTTTTTTTTATAGTTAATTATTTAAATGATTACCAAAAATCATGTTGTTGATGAAAAATGTTAATTATAAGGATTAAAATAAGTAAAAATGTTATTTTGAACATAACAATTAAGCATCGAAAGTATCTCGAATTTTGATCTTTCGATTGGGTTTGAAATAATTGATTTAATGTCGATGGTTCCATTGATTGTCTTAATTATACGGATGATTCTCCAATGATTACGATATCTTTCAAACGCTGCAAACAATTAAGAAAAGGTGATTAGTCAATTTAAAAGTTTTTCGAAAAGTTTTTGTTTAGTTTCGAAGTTTGAAACAAACCTGAATTTCGTCGAGTAGAAACTTTTGTTCATCTGTCATCGATTCGATTGTTGCTTGAAATTTTAATTCCATCTTGTTAATTGTCTCCTTTAAGATTGAATTGTCTCCGATAATTGTTTGCAATTGGAATGATAATTTTTCCAAACTTCGTTTTAATGTTTTATTTTCTTCATTCAATTCCTTTACTACGGTCAGTGTATCATTAACTCGTAATTTAAGGTCATCCTTAATTCAATTGTGGAAATAATAGTTGAATAGACTATTAGAATTTAGTTTAATTACAAGTTTGATTAACTTACTGAGTAATTATCATTTCTACTTGAGAAATATTTAACTATTGGATCGACATGAATTTTCCAGATTGATTCATGTTGTTCAATTTCATCTTTGGTTCCCTTTGATTTGGAGAGAGAGAGAGAAAAGTTGATTAATCAATAATCGTAATTGATTATCTAAATTACAATTAACTTACCACAAATTTACATCCCATTGGTGTTAATCTACAGGTTCTTGGTTTACCTGGACAAATGTCATAGTGTTTCCTCAAATCTCCAAAGGCCATTTTACGCTTACAATAGGTACAAATTGTAGGTCGACGGGAACAATTAGATTCGTGATCTTTTTTTGATTGTAATGGAATATCATCTTCACAGAATGAGCAACTAATTGTTCGTCTTGGACACTCCATTGCCATATGAGATGGAAGCTTTTTAATTACGATTCCCTCTCCACACTTAAGTGGACAGTTAATTACCCCATAGACACAAGTTCTCATGTGATCCTAACAGAAACAAAAAGAGAGACAAGAAAATTCAATATTAGTCAATGTTAACTAAATATCACAATAGTTAGTTAATTGTCAGAATAGATTTCGACACTAATTAGCTTACTTTTAAATCTCTCAAGCGACAGGTCTTTTTACAACCACGACTTCGATATGAACAGTAAACATCTTTATCCAAAATGGTCTCAGAATCCAATCGATCCTCAGTAAACTAGAAATTTCAATGATCAAAAGAAAACATTTCCACCAACAATTAGAAAGAAATTAAAAAGAAAGAAAGAAAAATGTAAACAAAATCAAAGAATCACATTGAAAATGATGAAATATTTATCCAATTTAAGTTTAATTCAACTTTAGATTGTTGAACAAATTACCTATTTAATCACTAATCAAATTCACTGGATAATAAGAAACAGTTTCTAATTGTCATCAGAAAATAAAGTAAATATCAAATGATTTTCAGAGAGAATAGAAGAGAACAAGAAAAAACAAAGTTCCATGAAATGGATGCCACAGAACAAAACAATCGAATATAATTAATTAACATTCTACGAGACTAATTAAATTAGATGAATAACAATTAAAACACTAATCCAATTAGAGAATCGAGTTGAATGTGTAAACAATTTGGTCCATATGTTTGGTAACCATGGAAACGTAAACGCCCATCGAGTGTTGAGTCACTTGTTGATTAATTTTTCTGTTGTTAACTAGATTAACTTGAACCTCTTATTGTTTCATTTACTTGTTGCTGTTAATTGTTGTTTATCACAATTAGACCAATTTATGGATTTAATGTTTTCCTCCTTTTTCCACTTGCAATCTATTGCCATGTATCCAATGTTTACTGTTGTTTAGAGGAAGATTAATTCAATCTCATTCTTCAAGTGGTCTCACCCTAAAAGTTTTTTCTCTCTCTCTCTCTCTCTCTGTTTATCTCTCTGTAAACTTTTCTATTCTCATTTTATCATCATTTATTTCCTCATCTATTTAAAAGGTAAGAGTTTACTTGCTAATTGTTAATGTTATTCTGTTGTTTAGTTTGATTGTTTTTCTCTTTTGTTTTTCCTCAGAATTATTGGAATCCAATTGAAAGATGAATCTTTCCCGGACAAGTTCCCATTCAAGTCTTCGGAATCACCATCACCATTGTAATGGTGCTTGTAGTGAAAGTGATGTAGATGGTATCAGAAGGGAAGATATTGCCACTAGTTTGGAACATTTATTCAACAATGGAAAAGCAATTTGTATCATTTGCTGGTTACAATCATGGAAAATTCTTGAAGGTCTTGCCCTGGCGATTGCCCTTTGTCTTCAAAGCTTTTTTCTTGATTATTATATCATTTACTATAGTAGAGGAGCCGTTGGCTGGTATTTTCTATTTCTAATTGATGTTATGATCATGGTTTTGTTCATCATCGCCATTGTAATGGCTAAAAGACATTATTCCAGTTGGATGATGCAAAAACAACCTTCCGCTGGTGGTGGTGGTGATCCAACAGTCTCAACAATTAACATCAATACCTATGGTTCTCTGTGCCCTCAGGCAAGAACAGGCCAACAACTTTTCGGTACCAGGTTACCCCGTACAATGGGTGTTCTACCCTTAAGTTATATCTCTTGGTTTCTCTATTCAATTGTTTTGGTTTTCAAAATTTTCATCTTCTTCACCAACGATGTTCTAATCAAAATGACCTCTGGCGATGATACTGCTCGATTTGGATCTAAATTGTTTGAAGTTGCTCTCGCCTGTACTGCTCTAATCTTTTTACTCTGGATTGAAGTTCATAAAAATTTGGAAGATGAAGTTCACCGTAGCTGGTCAAAGACATTAACAGATGAACTTATCGGCCATACAACCTTTGAAATTTTCGATCTCATCTTTTTCCTTGAACTAGTTACACCCGATATCGACCCGATAACCAAACAAGTTATCCATTTACCTCATATATCTAAACCACTGATCTACACCATAGTTGCCTTAGGATCTCTTAACGTTGTCTATCCAACTCTTGGTATTTATCAACTTTCAAAGTTACATAAGAAAAGTCAAGCAGAGGAAACAGTTATCCGAAATCATCCAGAGAGACACATTTATGGTACCAATGTATTTGTCCATTTCATCCGTCTTTTCAACGTTAATATCCCTTATTTGTTTATTCGTATTCACCTTGCCGCTGCCTATGATCGATCCCTTTCAATTTTCATCGTGAAAAATGTTCTAGGAATAATCATCTCTCTGAGAAGTTTAATTCTTGAATATCTTTTATGGAGAAGCCATGCCAAAGCTAAAGCCAAGCGATTATCATCCAATGCCAATAAAAGGACAGTTCGAATAGCCGAACCCGATGAGACAACACAATCTATCCCTAAATCAGGATGGGACATGTCAATGGTCAATGAAACGGCTCTTAAAAGTACACCAAAACCTAACGGAGATCGACCTCCAATCCTACGTTTCAACAATGAAACCATTGAAATTAACTTTACACCACATCGAGATTCTCGGACCACTGACCAACATGAAGATAATTTAACCTCTGACCCTCTAAGATTATAACGAAACGTTACTATTTTTCATATTCAGACTTTTCATCTCATTTATATCAACATTTGAATTATTATTAGTTAAATTATCCATGACAAAAGCACAAACTTCAATTGTCATGACTGATTCTCTCAATTGACACTTCCTTTTTTCATTACAATCCCTTGTAAGATCATTCACATAATATTTCCTTAATTAGTGATCTAATTAATGTTGTAAAATCAATATCACGATCACTTCCATTCATCTATTCATCATCATCATCAACATATACATAATGTTATAAATACTAAAAAAGTGTAATAATTAATAAACGATAATAATGATAATCATAATTATCATCGTAAATGTAACTCAATCAATCACTAATTACGGATAAACTGATTGTTCTGATTGTAATAATTTTTGCTGATGTTGAATTTTACCAAACAAAGAAATCAAAATCTACTCAAACAATCAATATGATTGATGTTCAACAATTAAATTTAATCACACAAAATATTACCCTCATTAAATGAAAATGGTTGATAAATAATATCCTTATGTTACAAGTGTTTAGATTGTAGAGTAATTAATTAAGATGATTGCAGATTAGATGGATGATTAATTCTCAACAATTAATATTTTCCATTTTGTTTTAAATGATCACAATTAATGGACAATTTTCAATACCTAATTGTCTAATTGGATCAATCTAATGGATTCGATAACTTTTACCGAATCAAGTTTTTCACATGTTTAATTAATCTGGTAAAGATTAACCGTTAGATTAAATTAACTCACCTCTTTTTTGGGAACAATTAACGAGTCGATTGGACACTTTAAGAGTCGACCATCAGATGAGATTGAATTAAAACATGGATTACAAAACTTATGACCACACCTTGGACGTGAAGGTGGATTAAGAGATGAATCTTCAAATCCATTTTCTGTTAATTTAAATGGAGCTGATGTTTTAACAATCAATTTAACTAATAGTCCACATTGGTCACATTTGAAATTTTCGGGATAAAGATCAACAAACTGGACACGATCAATTGAAACTCCATCAAAACCAGCCAATGTCTCCATGATTTTCAAACAATTAACAACACTAATTAAAACTGTGGCAAACAATACACTAATACATTAATCAAAATGATTCGGTAAACATTTCTATGATTTCATAACTCGCAAAACAATTAAGTGATTGATTAAATCGATAGTAACCATTGATGATGATTAAGTCGACACTGAATTAACAGAAATTGATTATCCAAAACTTTTAGATATCAGGGTGATATTTGATTTAGAAAATCAAAAATGATGAACAAATTAACGGTAAATTTAATTGTTGCTGAAAATAAATAGACATTAAAATAATGCTTCATTTACAATCGTAGTTAATAAGACTCACAATTGAATTGGTGATCAGATTGTCAATGTAATAAAATTAAGACAAATTGATAAAATCCAAGGGAAACCTCGTTATCAATTAAATTGTCTCTCTTACAGTTAATAACATGATTACTTTAATCATTACGATAAATGTAGGACATTTGGTGATATATAAAAGGGGAAATTGTCATGTTGATGGTTTATTGTGATTAAGATTAACGAGAATGAAGCCTAATAAGAAACGGTATTAAATTCATAAAGGAATCAATAATCAATAAGGTGTTAACAAATTAGATCATTTTATTTCATTAATAATAAAGATGAAAGATATAATCTAATCATAAGTAAATATAATGATAGTAAACAGAGGAATAGATGAAAAGTTATTGGAGTAAAATTGAGAAAGAAAAAGATTGATGATTATAATTGAATTTCATGATTGGAATAACGGTAATTGGGATTTTTTTTCGTGTTCTACTCGAGAATTGGATTGATTATTTTTTCGATTTTTTATCCTTTTTATCCTTTGGGTCAGGTTTTTTCTCTTCTTCACCATCATCACCCTCTTCACTTTCTTCCGGTTTTGGTGCTGCTTTTCCACCTTTACCACTTTTTCCTCGGCCACGAGAACCACCTCGACCTCGACCACGAGAGGAAGTACCACCGCGAGTTTTGCCACTTTTACCTTTAGATTTGAAAATTTCATCATCTTCCGCGAATTCATCTTCATTACTATCTATTGAACCGGTGTCCTTTTTCTGTTTTTTGGCATTTGGACTGGCACTTCGACTTCGGCTTCGACCTTTTTTACCTTTTTTCTTTTTTGAACTTGATGAAGCGATGGATGCATCATCATCTTCATCATCTGATGAACCAGAATCGTAAAATTTACCTTGACCCTCAGGGGGATTGGACATATTAGCAGGGTCAATACTTCCATCGAATTCAGACTCATCACTTGATTCATTTTCGGCTTTGGATTTACCTTTGCCCTTACCTTTACTTTTACCTCCTTCCTTATCTTTGCCCTTTTCGTTTCCAACAACTCGAACCATTTTCACAGAGCAAAAAATCCAATTAAACTTACAGTTAATTAAACACAACCAACTGTATAATTAAACTAAAACACAACCAATCACCCACAAAGGACAGGGATTAGTTAACAGTTTGGCTTAACTGTTTTTCTATTGTTGAGATACTTTAAGACAATTGTTAATTTGCTCTTTCTCTATTATTGTAATTTAATTTGATTTTTCAATTGTTGAAAAAATGAATTAATGACAACAATTAAATTGTGACAAAACAATGACTAGCTTTTAATGGGTCTCTTACATAAGCTAAATCATGGCCGATGAAATGGGTTCGGATAAAACTCATGCAAATGTATCACATTGGTGTGGACTCTCTTACGACCAAAGGCTGAATCAATAATCAAAAACACTATGATAATTTGTCCAAGTAGTTTGGTACTCGATAAACAAATGGTTGAATGGACGGTTAAATGCTTACGCTGTTGATAACGGTTCTAAAGAAGATGTCGACACAAATTTAAGAATGTTCATCAATCCAAGTGGTCTACGTTGTGTGATTCTAGTTTAGATATTTTCGTATAAAAGTTTTTGTCTTCATACTAATTCTCTTTAGTGAAATGGGTCTGACACTTTGTGATGAAGGTCATCAATTGAAAAACATGGAAAAGTCAAACTTATACTACCTTGAACACTTCAAACTCTAAAAGAAGTGTCCTCTTGTCGGGTACACCGATTCAAAACGATCTATTGGAATATTTCAATTTGGTTCGTTTCGTCAATCAAGATATTTTTGGAACAGCTCAAGACTTCAAAAAGAAATATGAGAATCCAATTCTTCGTGGCCATGATGCCACAACTTCAGAAAAAGATAATGAACTGGGTAAAGAGAGATTGGAAGAACTAATTTCGATTGTGCAAAAATGTATGATACATTGTACATGATACAATGTATGGTAGACATTATTTTGATTTACTTTCGAAAATCGAACTTATCGTTGTTGTTGCTTTTCATGTCTACAAGAAAATCTCTACAAAAAATTCATTGAATCGAAAGCTGTCTTTAACCTCAGCAATAAGGAAGCTAAAGGAAGTGCCAATTCCTCTCTCAAATAATAATAATGATAATGCTCTGATTCTCTATTCACCACCAGAATATAATGAACATGATAAACTCAAAACGAAGTCTAAAGAAGCTGAGTTCCACATTCTATTATAATAAACAGAATTGTTTGTCTTATATTATAATAATTTTTATTAATATTGCCAATTCTAATGATATCTAGATATCAACAAGAGAGTGTAGCTTAAGACAACTATAAGAAGTACATGTATATATCTTGAACCTTGTTCAATAATTGATTTGCGACAGTTAATATTTAAGAACTTAATGAATAAATTGGGCTCCATCACTGAATATTGATAGTATTCTCAATTAGATCGATAGATTTATTTCCCAATGAACAATTGCAACACAGTTGAATTCGTGAAAATTTTATTTCGATTTTCTATTTCTCAGATTAACGAAAATCATTTATTTATTTATTTCGCAATAATATATTACTCAAGATATTCAAATTTACTATTGAATTGATTGATAAATTGTTGTCACTCTTTCTGAGCTAATGATATACTAATGTAATACTGCCGGAAGTTCATTCGCTTTGAGTGTATAATTTAATATTTGCATGGATAATTCATCTGATTTTTTTAATGCTATCGGTAATTATGATGATTGATTTAATAAATAAAAAAGATATTGAAAGACGTTAGACGATTAGTTTAAAAATCAATATGATGTTGGTTGTAGATTTTTCTCAAGATTTCAGTCCAATTTAATTGATATTTTGGAATTGAAAAATTCAAGTATAAATATCTTTCTAATCTGAATCTAGTTGAGCTTGAATGTAAAGTTCTAAATGAAAATGATCTTCAATAAGATCAATCAGCTTGTCAATAGATTTGCAAAACATTATGGACCAGAGGATTTAGATGATGCGTTCAAGAGACTTGAATCGATTGAGAAATCAACGTTCATCGTTAAAAGATCAACAACTAATAAAAATCATCGATTAATTTGTTATCTTCTAGTTATTATAAATATAATTTTAACTGTTCGCTCTGTAATCCTTATTGTAACGGATAATAAAACGGTTCAGTTTATCCTTGGCGATTTTTTAGTTTCCTTCGAAGCCCGAGCATTTGTTAATTTTATCTATTTCTTAATTGCCTGTGTATTAATACCATTCAACATTTATAATATTATTCTCAACAATTTCGTCAAAGAGCCATTCGTAAACCAACTAGTGAGCTATTTAAAGGGAAGGCAATCTTCAAGGAGAGAACTACATCTTTCAGATCATTATGATAATCTAATTCTGACCTGGTATATCAAGGGAATCAGATTCTATGTATTTTACAGCAGATTTGCAATATCTATTAACCTTTTCTCTAATCTAATAATCATTGCGACAAAGACGAAAGATGCAAACACTTTTTGTTTACAGTTATTTTTCATTTGCATAATTTATTATTTTGCACATTTTGCTTTATACAGTTCGAGGTGGGTTTTCTTACATTGGTTTCTGACAGTACTTTTTACTTATTGTCGATTAGCTTCATTAACGACCATTTTCGATAATCGATTGAGATTCACTAAAGTTCAGAAAGTTTGGCTCTTCGAACTTCAAAAGCTCAATAATTGGATGGATTCTTTTAATCATCAAATTTATTTACCTACTTTACACTTTTTCTCGTTCATTTCCATTTCGGCTGTTCTGTTAATCTACTCTGGTTCACAATACACTTTCAATAATATTGTGATAAATATTTTGCTACGAGTGTATTCAATCACTGGACCATGCACTATCCTTTTCTATTGCTATCTATGTTCGTTTATTGCTAGAAAAGTTTGTATTACCTTAGAAAGATTCTTAGAAAGTTATTAGTTGATGTTTCAATTTTCATCTACAGGGGAAGATAATTCATTCAATGGTCTACAATCTATCGACTGGTAAATGTCAAGACATTTCCTTGATGCTAAAGGTAAAAGCTTCTTGTTGATGGTTATTCAAATTTCTTATATACAAAGTTTATTATAATTCAGAGGCTTGAAGTTTTGGAACGATTATCATATCGAAACCTTGGTTTATACTTAAATGGAGATATTTTGATCTGTAATAATTTCTCTTTAATCGTAAGTATCGATACGAGCATTTGAAATTATATCCATTCCTCTGATGGGTCGATGATTCTGGTCGTTTAAAGATTTCTTTTTCTTTTTTTATTAATAGTTCTTATTGGAATGTACTGGAATATATCTACTCATGTGTTCCACCATAGGTGTGTGAGAAAATTTCATCATGGTATCGAAACCTTGGTTTCTCCTAAATGACCATAAACAATATAACCATTAGAATTGAAAATTTTCGTTCATTGAAGTGAAATTATTATTTTATATTGTCAGTTTGCTGTTATAAGAATAACTTTAATATTTCCTTATAGACTCAGAACAATAATGAAATGTGACTCCGACAACGTAATTATTCAAATAAATTCAATAATAACAATCATGATCATTTTCCTTAGACCATTAATTTATAGTTAATTCTCAATAATGATAAAAAGCACGAGAATTCTCAATAATATTGAGAGTTAATAATTAAACAAAGTTATATTAATCTGCAGAAAATGTAATTGAAAGTAAATTGCTTGAGTGATTGAAAATATGCAAGGTTTGATAACCAATATTGTTAATTTATCTCCCTTGTTCAACTCTCGTTAATGGACAGAAATCTTTTCGAGCTCTTAAATTTAAAGCTCGATCATGATGTCGATGTCAGATTTGATAATTTATCAGCTAATCGAAAATATAAACACGAGTTTGAACCGTTTTTTAATAAAAGTAATAGTTTCTTGAGCATTTGGATTCTTGAAAACAAAACTTATCAAAGATAAAAATAAAAATCCGGAATAAGTTAACATGTGTGTTGGATAGCTATTAGCTACACCTCCAACCATTAACGCTCATCTTACCAACTTTTATTTTCGAGTTACAAAAATTCAGCAATTGGCTTGATTCATTTAATCGTCAAATAAGAATTAGTAATTTGTTCATTTTTACATATTGGTCTTTTTTCACTATTGTTGTTGTCTAATATGGTTCACAACACAATTTCTCTAATACTGCGCAAAATTTTATGTATCGAGCAGGAAATGTTTGGCTTTCGTTGGTCCTTTCATTATTCTGAGTAGTTAAAAAATGGAGGCTCTGGCACAGAAAGAGAAAATAAAAAGAAAGAGAAAAAGAAAGAGAACCAGAACTCGAACACGAATAAAAGTTCAAAAGAAATAAAAACTTGAAAACTTTTATTAAAGTTTAATCTTTCTTTCGATTTTGTCGACAAAATTTTCAATGAATTTTCTGGCCTCAGCCAGATGAATTTTTAAATTTTAAATTTCATCTTCATCAATTTATGGTGATGATTGTGATGAAGAAGAAGATGATTTTGATTCTGATGGTAGTGGTGATTTAGATGGAGATTTTGATGGTGATGATTTTGGTGGCGATGATTTTGATGGCGATGATCTTGTTTGTGATCTTGTTATTGATCTTGATGGTGATGATTGTGAGGAAGAAGAATATGAAGAAGGAGATGAAGAAAAAGATGAAGACGATTCTGATGGTGGTGATGATGATTTAGATGGAGATGAAGACGAAGAAAAAGATGAAGATAATTCTTATGTTGATGATTGCGATGATAGAGAAGACGATGGTGATGATTGTGATGATGAAAACGATAATGATGCCGATTCTGATGATGGTGAATAAGATGAAGATGATTTAGATGATGGAGATAATGATGATGGTAATGATTTAGATGATGATGATAAAATGTTTTTATGATGATGATGAGGAGGTTAACAATTTTTGATTCTCATCCTGTTGGATGAGAATCTCGTCCAAATCATTGGACGAAGGCTCGAAATCCATAAGATTTCGAGCCTCTTCACAATATTGATCATCGAAAAGATGATCAATATTGTGAAGAGAGAGATCAGGGGGATGATCTTGATGAGGGAGATCATCAAGATCAAGTCGGGGAGGGAAACAATTAAATTTTAATAATTTTAAATTTCTTTCTTAGAGATTTCTCTAACTCTCTCTCTCTCTTTCTCTCTGTCTAACTTTAAAATTAATCTAAAATTTTTCCTTCCCGAATGTTTTTTCTTTTCTCGCCTCTTTCGACCCATTCTCACATCTTATTCACTTTGAACATTGCCCTTGGCTATTTTTACCCAAATTGAACATTGCCTAAGTGACCTAACGAAATTCCTATTTATCCATGAGAATTTATTTTTGACCTCTGAAGTTATTATTTATCTTGACAGTTTGGCCCAATTTCAAGTAATTTAAATTGCTTTTGACCCTAGATATAATTGTTAGTGCGAATTTAATTTTCTCACGAGGTCAAAACGTCAATGTAATTGATGATTTTGTCCACGAACAAAGTTCGTGACCGGACAATGACCTTTTTCTATTGAATGCTAAGGGAATAAACTAAAGGGTGTACGTTTTAAAACACTTAGAGGTCTGAATCCACACTAAATCTAATTGGACTTCATTTAATTATCGATAACGAATAAAATCAATTTTAGATAACAATTAGCATCAGCACCATCTCTTAGAAATGCAATTCAAAATAATTAAGTCGATTTTGATTTTTACAAGAAGTCAAAAAAGTGCATAAGAGATGGTGTTGATGCTAATTGTTATCTAAAATTGATTTTATTTGTTATTGATAATTAAATGAAGTCCAATTAGATTTAGTGTGGATTCAGACCTCTAAGTGTTTTAAAACGTACACCCTTTATATTTAATATATTTATGTATTAATAGTGCATCTATATTAGTTAAAATTCTTCCCATAGACATATAGCGCCATCTATCATATGGGAAATATACTAAATTGGTAAAAGTTTGTCAAGCCCCTGAATTGAAGTTTATGGACAGCCTAGTTACCCCTATCGACGGCTGATGTAACTAAAAATTTTATCAAAATGCCTTTAACATGTATTGGACCTATTATTAATGCTTTCTATGTATTAGTATGATCTGTTGATGATTAGCCTCGGGTAGGCAACAACGGTTTGGATAGTTGGAAGTAGTTGTATCTTCTTCTCCATATGCCAATACATAACCCATACCAGTTTTAGGTTGAGGTCATTTATAGTTCAAAAGTTATTCAAAAAAGGTCAAGATGGCCGACCAAGAAATGAGAGCGGTGATTAGAAATTATTTTTTAAACGGTTCAACTATAGCGAAATGTAAAGAGGAAATGGACAAACTTTATGGTGGTCGATCGCCTAGTGCTATTAGTATAAAATGGTGGTTTCAACAATTCAAACTTGGACGGACAGACTTGAGTGATAGGTCAAAATCCGGAGCCGCTCACCAAATTGATATTCCGTCTTTGGGACACTCTGTATTGAAGGCCATCAAAGGTGATAGAAAAACTTCCTTGCATGCCTTGAATTATCAGGACAGTTTAAGGTTGGATATAGTACCATTCATAAGGTTGTTAAGGACCATTGAGGCCTAAAAAAGCTAACTACCATTGCCGTTCTCATAATTTATCCTATGCAAATAAGGAAGAAAGGGTTAAGTGTTCAACGGAGATGTTGCGTAAGTATAACGCTAAGCCAGGACCATTTATGAAGTATCTTTTCACAATGGATGAAACTTGGATACCTCTCTATGACCCTTTGTCTCAAACTGAGTCAATGGAATGGGTCAGTGACCGGTCAGAGGTCAGTCAAAGGCCAACATCGAGTCAGAGACAAAAAGGCAATGGCCTGTGTTTATTGGGATGGCCAGAGCATCATAAAGATTTTTTGGCTTAATGATGGAGAAACAGTCAACGGCGATGTTTATCGATCACAACTCGTCGAAATTGACCCACTGGTTCGTGCCCGTCATCGTTCAAATAAGCGAATTCCATTGTTCCTTCAAGACAATACAAGATCTCATAAGGCGGCGCTTACTATGGACAAAATAAAGGAATTGGGTTGGACTACGTTGACGCATCCTCAGTATTCTCCAGACTTAGCCCCAAGCGACTACTTTTTGTTCTCAAACTTGAAAAGATTTACTCGAGGCCAAAAATTTTCGACCTTGAATGAGATGAAGGCCACAGTTGAGCGATTTTTTGATTCGAAGCACCCATCATGGTATGCGGACGGAATCGAGGAATTGCCCACTCGTTGGCAAAAGTGTATTGATGCCCGAGGCGAATACTTTACTTATAATTAAAAAAAATTTGTTTTCATACTAAGGCTAATCATCAACAGATCATACTAATATATTTAATGGTTTTCGAAGGTAAAAAGTTGTTTCCTATGGCAAGAATACCCATATTATCATCATTATGAACCAAATAAATGGTTAGAATGTAATTATTTTTTTGTGCCAATTTTGTCCAAAATGCATTTTATTGATTAAATAAGTTTAAATGTTATAATGATTGTGATAATACATACAGTTGCTTATCACAAAAAGAGATAAATTGAGGCAAAATATTAAAATAAATGATTAGAGCGTAACATCATCAAGATTATAATAATAATTGATAAATAAGTGATGTGTTAGCTTACAAAGAAATTGATTAAATGAAAACCTTGGTGATGACATAGTCGATGACTTCAGCAATACGAGCTTACATTTCATCATCGACTTTAACTCAGATGTAGATGTCACCAAGTTTAGCAGGATTTAGTTTAGTTTAGTAGGATTGTTGAATGATGGAATATTGCTAAAACCAATCAATCCAGTGTAGATCTTACGGACCAATACATTTTACGGAGATCGGGTTTCGTAAAGTTTCCGTTATTATTCTCGAGGTCCTGTAGATCATCACTGCCTTTTAGACTTTTCTAACAAATTCATCAATCTGGCCAGGTTTACCTTCACCAAGTTTGATTATTGTTTCCATTATGAATCAAATTGATGGGATGATTCGATAAAGTCCAGCAACCATAGTTATCGGGAGGTTGAGAATGGTTTTTTATCACTCTTTTGTGGAGTGAATTCATATTTACCATTTTTGGCTTACCAGTGAGTAGTAAACCAGTAGCTTTGAATTTTGGTAGAGGTTCCGTGTAGTCGAGATTCGTTCAATATGGACAATCTCTTTATAACCGAGTACCAAACCTTTACCAGCACCATAAACAGAATATCAATCACGGATATTGACAAAGAGAATATCATCTTTTTCCGCTTTTCCATTTGTTAGGGCACAATGATATTTATACAAAGGTGATAACTTGATGGAGAAAAGTTCGTTAAAGTCAACACGTTTACGTTTTTCAACTTTCATTTCAGAGTCTGAACCTGATGTATCATTGTCGACTTGACGTTTGCCAGATTTATATGAAGCCATTTTCACTGGTGAAAATAATAGTTAAGAATGATTAGAGTTGGGAAAAAAACTTTATAACACAAGAGTATTTGTTTCACAAGTTTAGAGTTTGAAGAGAACTTTGAGACTGAACAAAGCAACGGAATGTTTCTTCTTATATAGAAATGAAGTTAAAAACAAAAGAATCATTTAGATACGCATGTTGACGCGCATGCGTGTAGAACATCAGTTTCAAATTCTATTCTAAAATGGTTAGTTGTTTTGAATTTTTCTCTTTTGTTTTCAATTAATTACTAATTAATTAATGTTTTTTTACTTGTTTTTTTATCAAATTTTACAGGCTAACCACCAAAGATCATCAGGATTAACAAACCAGCAACATTCATCATCAACAATCACCACAACAATGGATACAAATAACCATGTGAGTTTTTCTTTTTTTTCTATAGTCTCACTATAACAATAGCTACAAAGCTATTGCTTCGGCTGATTTTTTTGTCATTTTCTTATTTCTTTCTTTCATATTGATTTATTTATTTATTCTATTTATTGATTTATTGTTTTATTCTATTTATTTATTCTATTAATTTAGTTTGTTGAATATTTGATAGCGAGAGGCAAAACTAGCTTAACTAGACGATTGGTAAGTTTGTTACTTTTTATTTTGAGAAACCCCCACATTAAACCCCCATTTTTTTAGTTTCCGTCCGCAACGACCTTAGCGATTCTTGATATATGTACTTCTGATCAACCACCTGATCAACTACAACAAACAGATAATCATGGTCAATCAGCTGACACTTGTCAATCCGCTGAACAATCAGCTGAATCTGGACAATCAACAGGAATCGACCAATCAGTTCAACAGGTAGTTCTGAGTGAACAGTTACCAGCTTTAAATTCTCAAGATACTGGTGAGCCAATGGAAATGTCAGCTGAAGAAGAACCAGAAGAGATTGAGCCGGAACCTTCAACATCTTCCGTAAGTAGTTTTCAATATGTATAAGATAAAATATTTACCGAATTTCTTACAATTTTTTATGTTATCAGACAATTCCTTTACTTGCAAATGCTAAATCTGGTTGGTATCCAGTGCTGAAAATTAAACGTCGTGGGCCTTGCAACCATCTTACTCGAGGTCGTGTTATGGGTAATCTGGTTGAGCACGCCGACCTTGTTTATTTTGATGAGGATTTGGATTGTCCCGATTTGGAACCAGAAGAGTTGGTAAGTAAAATTCATTCATATTAAACCCCCATATTAAACCCCCATATTAAACCCCCATATTAAACCCCTATTTTTCTTTCTAGGGTCCAATTAATGCTCCGACAGATAAAGAAAAATACTATTGGGCTGACACTGCTCCAAAAGAGATGGATAAGGAGCGCAGGAAAAAACGAGGCGCGAATCCTAACACTTCCTGTCGATTTTGCCACGGACTCTACTCCAGCAAAGAAGTAGCAGACATACATGAGAGAGACGTTTGCACTGCAGCAGGAGCTCCGGGTCATGTCTGTGACTCTGATTGCATTGACAACTGTCCTGGTAATCCACCATACCAAAAAGCTAAAGGAAAGCCTCTTGGCCGAAAGAAATCAAAAAAATAAATTCAAATCATTTTGTTATAAAATTTTCATTAAAATTTTCCATAAAAAAACACAATTACGATAAATAGAATTTTAAATTTGATCATTTGACAAATTCCTATCTAAAAACTCATCGAAGTTTATACAAGACTTAATTCGACGAGTCTGAATTGTCGCTTCATGGTAGATCTTTTAGCCTTTTTTGACCAAAATCTTCTTTGGGATGATATTTTTCTTTTCGATTTTCAGAGTGCGTACTTTTCTCGAGCTCTTGGTTTGTTTCTCTTTTGATAGATGCTATTGTTGGACTCATAGGAGCTATGAACCGTTTGATCGATAGAAGCTGTTCTTTATTGTTACATGAGTTGATTATTCCAGTCACTTGATGAATTAATTGTTCTTTTAATTTGCATAGATCCTTATAATAGAAAAAAAAGTTAAGTTGGGGTTTTAAGTGGGGGTTTCTACATACTGTTTTTCTTTAATGGAGTTCTGGCTCAAAAATCAATTTTTGATCTCTTGCAATTCATTATTCATGCTGATTTGCAAGTTTGAATCATTTTCATTGTTGCCATCATTTACTTCTTCTCTGCCGTACTTTAATGCGATATAATGCGTGTGTTTGCATAGATTATTTTTGATTGCATAATCATAGCAGTCACAACTTATTGTTTCCGTGCAAATTTTACATTCTTCGCATCTGATTGAGCATTGACAGTTGTGTTCTTCGTTTATGGATTCTACCGAATAGATATTAACTTCTCTGCCTTGTGAAACCACTGTTAGTTTTTTGGCCTCGATTGGGTTTTGCGATACAACTGTGAATCAATAGCAGTTTTATGACGTTTTCGTAATTCCAGTTGGATTCCAGTTACATCCTGCCTTATGGTCAAAATTTTCGAACTTTCGAAAGACATACCTCAATCAGATGTTGGTGCAGGTGATGGATTAGATGAATTGGTGATTGATGAATTTGGTTCAGACCAACTGGAAATTGTCGATGTAACAGGAGAGGTTTCACGAGGAGGGTGGTAAGACCAAAGTAATAATGTAGTTGATGATCTTCCAGATGCAGTAGATTCAGATAATGCTTCTCTGTAACCTTGAAAATCAGCTTCAGTCCAACGTATAGGAATCAATTCCGGTTCACTTTTACATTCACTTTCAGAGTTTAGTAATGAATATGTTGACTCTACAGTTGTTGTACTACAAGTTGAAAAGTTTTATGATATTGATGAAATTGATGAACAAGGTGATAACTGTTCAAGTTAGCTTGATGATGATGATTCAGAAGAATAACTACCTGGAGGTAGAAGGTCTCTTGGATCAGAGTTATAGATTTTTATAAGGTTGAATTCTCGAAAAACACCAGAAAGAACTATATAACGAATATTAATTGACGATGAGACAGGAGTAGAATAAATTATGAAGTTATTATTTCTGGTTGTAATTAAAAAGAGCCAGCTTAACAAGATAGTTCAGCAATTTGATTAAAGAAAGATGCTTCAATTTCACTTTCATAATTGTTCCAATATCTTGATGGTTTCACTGAAGTTTTAGATAAAGATTTAACGCTCCAATGTGATCTTTTTCAGTGGATTGAATGATTTAACAGGAACAGTATAATTATCTTTACGTAGTTTAAAGTCAGGAAAGATTTGAATAAAATCTTCAAGTGTGAGAACAATTCTTATAAAAGAACTTTGTGGATTAATCGAAGCCAGGGTTCTTTAACACATTTAAAATTAAAGAAAACAAAAATAAATGAATAAATCACAAGCAAATAAAAGAAAAAGATTATTAGATAAAAAAGATTAAATACAAAAGAAAAAGATCATTAGTTCACAATCCCTAATGGTATCAACACAATTCGAAAGAAAATAAGGGAAAAGATAATTATCAAGAACACCAGATCACTGAGTTAAATAAAAATCTCTTACCTAAAATGTTGTTGTACCAAATGTACCAATGTGAACCAAAAGTCCGATGTAATTTAATCCAAAATTGAAACAATAATCCAAAGTGGTAAACTTAATTAATCCAATTGGTATAAACACAATAAATCCAGGTGGTAGAAGATAATCCGAAGATGTTTACAATAAAACACTAATCAAGTAAACTATCGATGAAATAAAATATAAATGTAGAATATATATTACTAAAGAGAAATAATAGAGAGAAGAAAGTTTCGTTGTAGTCTGAACTAAAGATAGAAGTTAACTGATAAAAATTTTAAACGAAATAAACTTTGCAAAGTTGTTTTTTCCTTTAGCTCCCTCGTCCATGTCAGATAGACGTTTGCTCCCTAACGCACAAAGACGCCTTAGACAGGATTGCTCTATAGCGCGTCAGTAAAATTTAACTCTCCACCTATTTTATCTTCCTAACTTTGTGTGTACTCACTCAAGTCAAAATTGCAAGTTAGTTTATTCTGTTAATGTTTAACATTATTATACTTTAAACTTTCTTTGAATAAACTTTTAGTTTTTTTAGATTTAGCAATGTTTAAGTATATATATTATTTAGTTGCTTTTATATTTAGTTATATTTTAAACTCTCAACCAAATAAATGTTTCAAACAGTGTTCAACTATTAACTCAGTGAACAATTAAAACTTTTATGAAATTAACTATTCATTTTTAAATCAGTTTTCATCAACCTTATTCAACTTATCCGATTATTGTGAATTTAACCATTTGGATTATCGTGATGTAAACCATTCGGATTATTGTGTCTTTAGTGAATTCAACAGATGTATCAACACTTGTTCACATGATCTGGATTATTAGTGGGTGTTGATATTACTCGTGATTCCAATCATCTTTATCATTACAAAATCAATTATCTTTATCAATTAAAAATTATTAAAGTAAGTAAACTTTATTATTGATCAAGTGTTGAATAATGTCCAAAGACATGTGTGTATACATTGTCTATAGCCCATCTCTTATTTCAAGGATTTGAAACGTTTTACCGTTAAATGGACTTGACTTCCTTGGCGAGACTCGATACTTCCACTGGAGACGTTTATCTTACGTTCCCATCCTCATCGTGGGCTCCATGTAAACGACAACCGAATTGAGAGATGAGTTAACTGGTTGAAATGGTTATTTGTTTGTTCTTGTTTATTTAGTTACCGTTTAAATAATACTCAACACTTAGACAAATCATTAACATGTATAATTTAAATACAATGTATTGGGAAGACCGAGAGAGAGAGAGAGAGAGAGAGAGAGAGAGAGAGAGAGAGAGAGAGAGAGAGAGAGAGAGAGAGAGAGAGAGAGAGAGAGAGAGAGAGAGAGAGAGAGAGAGAGAGTGAGCGAGAAGGTAAGTCTCAACACTGAGACTATTCCGTCCTCTTGAAGGGTTAGTTATGAGCTGAATGATGATTCTCCTTTCTCTTCAATTTTTCTTATATACCCGAGGGAGAAAGGAGAGAAAGGAAATAAGAAGAAAGAGAAATAGAAAGAGTGATGAGGATGATAAGTTTATGGTTATCGTAAAAACCCTAATAAATAATCTAGAAATTAGATCTTTTTTATAATTTCAACAGAGTAATTAACCTTTTAGCTAATTACTCTATTTTTCTTTTACACCATGTTATCATTCTTTTTCTTTTTCTCTTTCTTATCTTTCTTCTCTTTCTGTGCCAGAGCCTCCATTTTTTAACTACTATTCTGTTATTATGTCTCATTTATCTCTCGAAAAGTAGGTTCTTGAGAACTTTTATAAACAATTTTAGTCTTTATTCATATTTACAGGGACAAAAAGGCGCTTAATGATTTACAGTTTATCTAAATAATGTAGTACACATGATGTTCACTAGATGTTAAAGGTAAAGAGATGCAGTCTGTTGCGAGTTTCTAATTAACGGTTTTTCTTACTTTAGAGACTCAAAATGTTGGATAGATTATCATATCGAAACTTTGGTTTATATTTCAATGAAAATGTCTTAATATGTAACCATTTCTCCTTAATTGTGAGTATAGTTTAATTTAATCAATCGAAAAGTTACAATTTTTTAATATGATATCCGTTTCTCTTTGATTGTTCTGGTTCTTTATGGAGTGTATTGGATTATACCTAATCATGTACACGAATTATATTAGGTAACCAAGTGAGCAATGGACTAAAATTTGGCAACCATACTCCTTACATTAATTGTTTACATGTTTGTTAAAGATAATTGTAGTTGCCTGGAATCGATTAAGTTATTAGTGGTTGATTGTTCAGTTAATTTATCAGGTTATGTGAATTTCGTGAGTGTTTGGTCAAACTGAACTTCGTGGAGCAAAGTTCACATGCATATCTCCGTGAGTTTCCTATGTGAACGTTGTTGATGTGGTCATTCATGGCATGATTTGAATAATAGACTTGTGGACAGTAGGGGCAAACGTTTTTACCATTATTATTTGAATAATAATTTTATTGTGGAATTTTCGGCTTGCGACCTTTAGTTGACCGGTCACCAGCCCTATAAATTCATTTCTTAAACAGATTTTCCGTTTCAAACTTAATCCAAGATTAGATGATTATGATTATTTATTCCACCGTTAAGTTGATTGTTTACTTTATTGTTATTCCCTGAATGTTGGAGGATCAGGTCACTTGTGGTTACCAAAGGCAAAATATTTCGAACTTTGTAAGTTCGAAATGGTTCTAAAGAGTTTAATTTTAGGTGAGTGGTGAAGATCATGAACCGTTTATTGGGATGTCACCGAGGTAACGTGGTGGACGAACTCGACCTCTTTTCAGTAGTATTGTTGATATATTGGAATGGGAATCAGGATTGGACGAAGGTTTTTATAAAGTATTTCATGGGAATGATGTTGATGTTGTTGATGATGATGATTTAAATGATGGGATATAGTTGATGTGATGATCCGTTAGTCAGATTATTCTGGTGGGTATCATTGATACCGGGTGTGCTAGTGATTGTGATTGATGAAGAAGGAGAGGATGAAGATGAATGATTTGTAATTTTTGAGATTTTGAAAGTAAACCTGAAGCAACGGCTAAGGTTGTTGATGCAGCCATGCTCGAGTAGTGGTTAAGCTAAATGACGATGCTATTTATGCAATAAAAGGTACCATTGAGTAATTTGTTGCTTTTAAT